TGCTCTCGAGAAAACAGGTGGAGAGGCAGGTAGGCAGGCCAGGGCCTGATAGACTACGTGGTGGATCGCGAATGAATGGCATGTCATTCCTCGGTATGAGAGACGAGGCGGAAACCGCTGAAGAATTTGGGTGTACAAGATAGCACGAAACGAGCGGTGCACGTAAAAATCAGCGGACGTTCAGTCTTTATTAGACAGGAATTAGCGTGTTTTCTATATATATATATATGCACACATAATCGCACGTACATCGTTCGCATCTTTGCTTATCCGACAAATCTTGGGAGATTAAATTCAGGAGAGTGAACAGGTGATTTTAAAATTGTCAGATGTTCTCTTTTAATCACCATTAATCATTGTAATGATGCCCTAAGTTGGAATCAGTATTTCCTCGACAAAAACATCGCAATGATTTCGAAACAATCGCTCCGGTTAATAATAATTGAAAATAAATAAAAATTTTTTTATTATCATATTCTGTGAATGAAAATTGAGAAAATTGCATATCTTCGCGAAATATCTCATTATCTTTAACTTCTATGGCAATTTAATTGATTCGGTAACTCTTTTCGTTCTGCTACACTGTTAAATCTGTAGTGTTAAACTGAACCTTATTTATTTAAGTCGCAATTTTTTTATCTAAAACAATGGAGTTAAATAATTTAAAACAGTTCGAATTTAACCCAAATTTGGGTTAAATTCTATTGTTTTATTTAAAAGTAACTATATTGTTTTAGTTAAAAATAACTATTTATTAAGTAGGAGCAGTGGCGACTTAAATAAGGTTCAATTTGACACAATAAATTTAACAGTGTAGTTACAATGGACAGTGATGTGAGATGGACATTTTAATTAACTGCTATTAGTGTCAGTTGACATTAGTATAGAGCCGATAGAGATTCTATCTCTATCTCATAAAGAAGATCGCGAATCAGTTTTCGAACAATGCGGCTGCTTTGGGAGATGAGAAAGTACGAGTGAGGAGGAGAGCGCCGACCAAGATCGGGTAAAGGTAAGACAGAACGCAAAGAAGAATTGTGGGAAAGGGGAGAAAATTGCAAAACGACATACCGTGCGACCGCACACGCCGAGAGGATAATTCCATGGTGCGGCTTAAAGCCGCGCGCAATTTGGCCTCACGCCAACGTTTAAAATGTGTTACAACACAAACACCTCGGCGGGAGTCGTTTAAAAAAGAAAAAAGTAAAAGAAATGCAAATAACGCGAATGCAAAATTTAATTGCGCGATAAACAAAGACACTGACGATAGAAAAAGTTATGACTAAGAAAAATATTTAAGGCCACATTCCTTAAGTATCTAAATCTCAGGGACGAAAATTCTTGCTTATCGAGAGACCCACTAGTTCTTCGCCGCTTTCCGACTAAAGCTGTATTTACTTGAAATCTGCATTTATCTATTTTTATCTCGTCGGTTTATATATTATATTATTATACTCCCCCCACCAGGACCGCGTGAAACCCAGCACAAAATGTTGCTCGTAATTGTCGGCTTTACGCACGATTCTTGTTCCTTTCTCGCGTGCACGCGATCCTGCTTGCGAAGTGTGTTAATATGTGATTTACACGAGAAGATAGAATTATCGCCACCGCCGTCGATACCGCCAGCCAAGGAAGAGACGAGGAAACGAGTCGTTGTGGTTAACGTGTGAATACGATGCCACACGCTCTGCCGCTTTGCGGGGAAAATCTCAGGAGTTTGACGTTCTCCGCAGGACGAGATCCGAACGCGCGGATATTTTAAAGCCGAAAAGCGCGCGTCTCATATTCCCGAGTAGAGAATTAAAAAAAAGTCAAGTGAGAAGAGATCCCACAAATCGGATCGCGACAGAACAGGATGCCAGCGCTCCTTGCAGGATATCGTCGCATACTGATCGACAAGCTTAGGACAAAATATCGTATTACAGTACCACACTCTTACGAGGAATCATCTTTATGAACGCGACAGGTTCAATTTGCGAATGCTATATATTTAAAAATTCGAAAAGGAGAGATTTTCAGAGACGTCAGCTTTGTCGTGCAATGATTTTAATAATGAATGAGTTTCCAAACCTATATTTAGCAATAAATTTCTTTTTTATAAAATTTATTATTTAATTTTTACTTATTTTATTTTGTATATATTTTTTGTTTTATTTATGGTTGTAATATTTATATAATAATTCAAAAATTTGTGTTAGTTAATTTTTGTTTAAACGCATGTTTTAAACATTTACTTGCATTCAAAACGTTTGATATACGTTTAAAATATTTATTTCATTCATATTTCAAACATAAACGTTTAAATTATAATAAATCTGGAAAAAAGGGCGAATGAAAAACAGAGGCTCTATAGAAAGGACAGATATCTGTATTCAAGAGGGAGAAAAAGAAGCCTCGAATGTCCTCGGGAATGCATTCCTGCCGTTGATACAACACACCTGCCGCGGATCTGCAGATTGTGCCGGTTATCGCGATTAAACACACGCGCGCATCATTGTCGGCAATGGCAAGCACGAGTAAACGGCCGAACGAATTTCAATGAATTTCACGCTTAGACGCGACTTTTCGTCGCTTTCGCTATTTTCCAACTTTTTATAATGTTCGCCCGCTGCGCGCGAGCGAACTATCCTCCGTAAACGACAAATCCGTAAACCCGTCTCGGCATGCTTCTTAATAATGCGACCTTGAATTCCAGAGCCTTCGCCGCAAACCTTCGCGTTATATTCTCGTCATCGGGGCTCGATTCAACTGACAATGCGTTCGTCGGACTTAGGACCGACGCAATAGGAATTCGTCGATGGAATTTCGTGGAACGTGATGAAACAAAAACCACTTTCGCATCTAAATTTATTTCATGACACGCGCATCGTAACATGCGTGACATCGTCAAAGTGCAACGCGTTCTAATTGTAAGATAAACGAACGCTGTTTGTCTAATAACGATAATAATGTAGGGACAGAGAGAGAGAAAGAGAGACCACGTGGAGGAGACACGCGCGTTTGTTCGATCGAAGAAAAATAGGTCGTGTAAGCAACGTTCGGCGGGGATACGAAACGGCATGAACTCTTATGGCGGTGACGTAACACAAGGCACAGACTAATCTCGTTCGTGACCTCATTATACATCCTTTTTTTCCTTCTTTCTTTATTTTGTAAATTACAGCTGGGAGCACGCTATCTTGTGAACTTCGTCAACTCGAAGTTCGTAGATCGCGATGTCGCGGCTTTTCTGCATGACATGAGACAGTAGAATCGATTAACATTACAACCAAGCGTCAAATCGATTTTTTATTTAAATGATATATAAGTAATTGAAAGAAGTTGCGGTAATCCCTATCGCAAGGAATAATTCCTATCTATTTTCTTATTATTCTAAATAACTTGTTTGTAATCACGGAGAAAACTTATTCGCAGCTATTGCACCATTTCTAAATATTCCGTTTCGAATATTATCAATGTAAAATAAGCCACGGAAATTATCAGATTGATAAGAAAATCTTTTCGTATTTTATGCAAAAAGAGTGACCCAAAATACGAAAAGACTTTTTGATCAGTCTAATAAATCAGCACGCAATGTGAGTATCGACCATCTGATTTTTCGGAGCAGTGAGATCTAAAAATGCCTCCTACCAGAAATAGAATGCTTTCAATTATTACGTTTTAAACTGGGCCATTGATTTGAGTGTGGAAATCAAATATTACGAAAAGCGTAATTGCAAAAAATGATTAACGATCGGAATCAACATTGACAAAACATGATTTCTCATTTATTTCTGCAAGAGTATCTATGTATATTTTGTAATTTTTAATATTTAATATTAGATATTTCCCGAATATAAAATAGTCGTTTTCAATCAGTAAAATGTAACAATAAAATCTTTCACATCGTATTTGTTTAAAAGCATCCAATTCAAAAGGAGAATTCTATTTATTGTAAGAATTTAAAAACTATTTCTTATAGATTTTGAAAGATTTTGAAAGAGATATAACAAAACGAATGTATCACATCGATATAATTACAACAGTTATTATTTAATTATTTCTAACGCTTCTTGAAAATCTGATCGCACCCGATTAAATCGATCACCGAGTTACTTGCGATACGTGTAAATACCGTTTCATAACAGATGATCAAAATGCGTCACGATTCACTAATCGAGGTCATTTCCTAAATCTGGTGTCGTACGACTCGGAGCTGGCTGTAACGACGATTTCGGCGCAAACGTCGCCGTGCCTTTCTTCCTTCGAGCGTTAACGCGCTAACGGAACGTCCATTAATAAGTTTCTCAATAAGAATCGATCGACGCAAAAACCGGCTCCCCTGTCCGCGCATAAAAGACGCGCTGCGATGTGCAAGGCGCTGTCACGCGTGTTCGCGCGCTAACGGAATACTTTTGTCATCTCTCACGTTCGCGGGACGGGGAGACATTTGTGACATTTCGGTCTGATTGTGAGACGAATGCGGGAAACGTGACAGATCGTGACAGGTAAAGGAGAGATATAAGAGAGAGAGAGAGAAAGAGAGAGAGAGAAAAGGGAAAACGGCAGACCTAGACGGAGTTCATGCTCGTGTGCATCTACGGTACAGAAGTCTGGGCTCACCGAAATTATACCGGTTTCGGTATGCCGAGAGGAACTCGAGACACGCTGCAAGACGGAGAGCGGAGCAAAGCAAAGCGAGCGAACGGGAGAAACGGAGAAAGAGATAGATAGATAGGCAGAGAGAGAGAGAGAGAGAGAGAGAGAGAGAGAGAGAGAGAGAGAGAGAGAGAGAGAGAGTGTTGTGTGTGTAAGTGAGAGATTTCCGCGCGTCTGAGGCGCTCCGCGTCTATTCGCGGCAATTTGGCGAAAGGAATCGAAAACGTGCGCTCTCTCGGGAAAGAGATAGCGGCCTCAAACAGGTAGAGATGAGGAAGGAGGAAGAAAGAGAGAAGCAGCGAAAGGGCTCGCCTGTCGGAGTCCGTCCCTGGTAAGCGAAACCGGGCGGGCAGCTAACTCACCTCGTGCCACATTCCGTTGGGATATACCGCCGTTTCTGATGATGACGACGACGACGACGGCGGCGACGGCGGCGAAGGAAAGAGAAGACGATCGCGTAAATCCTCCGTCACGGAAATCCTCCTCCGCGTGAAAAGAGAGAAAAATCCTTATCCGACTGACGGCGAGGGCTGTGCGCCTCTCCTGACTCTCCTTGATTTTTTTCTTTAACGCAGCACGCAGCACCTGCAGGATGCACCGCGCGGCTATCCGCGGCTACACTCGCGCACGTCGGCTTTTCAAATTTTCAAACTCACACACACGCGCGCGCGCACGTAAAACACGCACGCTCGGGGACGGGAGTCACGGGGAGATGCGCGCGCGGACGCACGCACGCACGCACGTGAGAGGAGAGCCCGCGTACCAGGAGCCAGCCAACCAACCAACCGACCGACTAACCAGCCAGCCAGCCAACGGGGCTGCCCGCATACCGACCGCACACACGCGCAGACTCGACAACGGGTTTCTCACGGAGGCGAAACGTCAACCGACTCGCACACTCGGCTCGCTCGCGTAGTCGCGAGAGCGGCAGCTGCTGAGATCCCGTAGCCGGGCGCACGGCGTAACGTCCCGCTGCACGTTTACGCGCGGACTGAACCGGCCGAGCGACCAGTACCTACTGACTGCTCGGCAGGCTCGGCTCGGAGTTCGGAGCACCCGGCCCCGTGCGGTCACGACCGTTTCACGCCACGGCGGGCCGCGGGGACCGACCGTACCGAAGGAACGGTGGGCCAGGGAATCTCGGTCCAGCGGAATTTCTTATATTTTAAATCGAGACCGAAATAGGCGCGTAAAATTAACATTTTTTTAATCGGCCTTTTCATTATCAATGATCACCTTGCGACAGGGTATCAATACTATCAATCGCATTTCGTCAATGAATATATGAATCAACCGTAACTTTATTCTGTAATATAATCGCTTTTTTTTACAGCAGAATGTCTTGTTTTTTTTTTGTTTTTTTTTTCAGTGAAATATAATGAATACACGTAAACGATAATATAATGCGCATGGATATTTATCGTAATCGTACATCAATCAAAAATATTAAAATTATATATATATATATATATATATATTATATATATATATATTTAAATTATATATAATATATATATATTTTTTCTCCGATAAAGATAATTTACAACATACATCTTCTTTTCTTCTTTTTATCCTTATATCCTTAGAGCTAACTGACGATTGGGTGTTTTCTTTCGAGTTCACATGTCTCACATGTGCGCGTAATTGCATTCGATTTTTTTATATCACACACAATCCTCTATAAACAAGTTGTATGCCGTATGCTTCTCAATTATCACGCTACAAATTTCTAAATTTGTATTACAAGACATATAACGCTTAATTATAATAGTTTATCCTACGATCAAATTAAACCAACAAAGATACAGTGCATATCGGTATGCAAATTAAAGAAAGCCATGTTGCTTACTTATGCTTGGTATCTATAAAACTTACATAGAAACCGTACTATAGAACGGATCGTCAAACCGTGCTCGTCAAATATAACGTGGATCTCACCAATACTCCAACGTATATTTCACATTTACGTATAACATATACATATATATATGTATATATATATGTATATACATATATATATATATATAAATATATATATATACACATATATAAAATAATTATGAAATCCATGCACCAAAAAGCATTACATTCATTCCCAACGGGCTTCAACGTTCGGTTTCTTTATTGAGAGCGTACAAATAACATACCTCGCTACAAGATTACAAGTATTGGGATATCTGAAAGCAAAAGGGATGATTGACTGTACTGCGAATACACTCTCGATCGATCGCCGAGAAGCCGAGAAAGCGAGTTCGTTAAATAGCGGCAATCTATATTTTCCATGCAGGTTCCGTTTATGTTCCTACGAAATCGTCATAAAGATATTACGCGATAATGAACTGTCGTGTGTGAATATCGTCATATTACAATCTACTCAGAATCAGCTCGACACTTCAAAAAAATTTACACGGAAAATGACATCAACGGAGCTACAGTCAATTTCCTGTTGTTCCAAGAGTCTATATAGTCTAGAGTTTTATTCCAGCCCAAGTTAACTGTCTTTTCTCTTTTATTTGGATTTCTGTTCTTTAAGACCCGGTTTCAAAATTCACAATTAATTAAATTTAACCAAAGTTCAACTTTGCTTTATCTTTTTCTAATCTAAGAATTAGAAAGCGATAAACAGTAAATTAAACCAAGTTTAAAGTTAATTTTATATTTTGTGGAACCGGCCTTAAGGAATCGTAGTACCATGTGATTTATTGTATATTTATTTACATGGAAATACATGCAAGTGTCCATTCTTTCCTCCCAAGATTAAAACGCTGTAAGTTTAATCTTGGGAAGAAAATCTTGTAGTTTAAATCGAAATAAAAAACATGGTTTTGTTTTAATAAACACTTTTATGCGTGTAAAGGAGTTAAAACAAATCAATTTTTATATTTTTAAATGTATTACGTTGGAACGGTAATAAATGTCGATTTTGTTCAAAGGGATGTTACGCCAAGTGCGTAAGAGCATATATATATATATAAATGCGTGTCTCTCATTTCAATTTTCTATACCACACATATATAAAATTCATTAGATTAGAGAAGCAGAAGAAGAGGATACTTGCAAGTTATTTACCTCGTTAGTCATGTGTCTTGAGATTTGTCTTTTTTGGTTACATGCTCACAAGTTAGTGTGAAAAAGTGGGTGAAAGCCGAAACACGCAATATTTTCATTTTGTGCACATATCATTACAATAAATAGCGACCAAGATAAAAGAACAGAGAAAATCCTCGGTTCTAATGATCTGAGAACATAGGAAATTGACTGTACGTAGAGCACATCAAAGAGGATACACAGAAAACCAAGAATAGAGATTTGAAAATGTAAACAACTGATCGCGAAACGAGTAGTAATGGCCGTACCATTGATATTTCTCTATTGTCTAAAACACAGACAAATCTGAATCTAAATAAGAAAAACTGCAAATTGAACGAGTGAGTAGCGTGTATTCCGTCAAGACTGAGAAAAAGGGAGTAGAGAAGGGAGGGAAAGAGGATATAAGTTTATAATTTTTGACAGCCAGTTACCTCAAGTATCTCTCACGTACATTAACGTAAGAGGTAAATAAGGATAAAATTAAAGGTAATATTGGAATAACAGTATTGCGGATTGGTGGTTAGCTCATAGACACTTGTCCATTGGAGAGTAATCTCTCAACGGCAGCATTTATGTCTCCGAATGTGGCGATTAACGCTGAAAAAGAAAACAAAAGCAGATTATGTATTTTGGACAATTGTTATTAAATGTAAAATATTACAATAATATATATTCTTAGATATGTTAAAAATTATTAAATACTATTAAAATATTATTTAATTTTAAGCATTGTGACATGACTGTGTGAGCAAATTTTTTTTCCATGTAGCTCATATATCAATAAAATAAAATAAAAACAAATAAAGAGATCATACGGGAAAAAAATTGCGTTGTCAGGATGACTCTAACCTTGTAAATTAGCATCTCTATTAAGAAAACCCATAGCTGTAAGTTGCTCTAACTGTGCTCTGTAACGCTCTTCTGGTGGAGGTACTGGTTGACCGTCAACTTCTACACCTTGATTTAATGCCATTGCAGAAACCTAACATGCATAAATGAAATATCATTTTGTACATAAGTATGTAAAACTTATACGAGAAATACAAAATCGAACGTCATATAATCAAATAAATATGGAGAATGACTCTTATTACATCAGAATTAGTAATATACATTTTTCTTCATACATCAATAAATATTATATTTTTTTAAAAGAGCAGTGTCATATATTAATTTAAATTAATTGAATCACTTTAAGGAGTAACCTTAAAAAGTATATTATTCCAAACTCATTTTTCGAGAACAAAATTAAATTATATCTTTGGAAATTAAACCATTGTTCTTACCATACGTGCCATGAATTGGGAAAACGCATCTTGCTGATTGCTATCCGCTGGTTGATTGGTCGGTACACTGGTATTGGTGCCGCCCGTGTTAGGTGTTGTAGGCGCAGGTGGGACCGTGAGACCCATGCTAAAACACACGTTGCATTTATAATTACGCGCTAATAATATATCAATCTGTAAAGTTAATGGTAGGACAATGAAAATAAAGAAATTTACTTCTCCACGAGTTCGGGAGCGACGGTGCGAAGTTGTTCCATACCCCGCTGGATCTGCATGATAGCAGCCAGAGCGTCCGGATTGGTGACGACGCTCTGTATCTGCGGGTTTTGCAACTGTTGTATGAAAGCGGGCAACATCGCACGCATCTGTTCTCGCATCTGTGGATTACCGCGGAGGAACGGACTCGCCGCGATCACCCGGTTGGCCATCGCCGGATCAGCCGCCATCGCTTCCAGTAGAGATCTCGTATACGGAGCGTTTAGCATGTTTCGCATTAACTGCGGATTCTCCATCATCTGTGCCGTGAGGCTCTGCATACCCGGCGAATCTAGCAGACCTCTGCCTTGACTCTGCTGTCCCGTGCCGCTGCCGCTTTCGCTCTGGTTTTGACCCCACGGATTCGGCAGCGGATCCCGATTTTCCTGACCCTGCTGTGGATTCTGCAAGTCCTGATTGGAATTGCTGTTTTCCACTAGAGCGGCGAAGGGATTACGGCCGTTCGTCGCCGCTGCTAGCATTGGCTCCTGAATATCGCGATACATGCGACGGAGAGCGCTGTATCCGCCAGGTATGCTTTCTAGATTAGATAAAGCTCGATCGTGCGAGCGCATCAGTTCCTGTAGCATTGACGGGTTACGTGCCAATTCCATCGTTTGCCTGGGGAATCGATTTTCATGAATAATATCGTGCAACATTGCACAATAGTAAGTATCTAGTTTCCACATTGCATTTTAAAATACTGACTATCGCTCAGCAATTAACTTAAAGATACAAATGAAAAATGTATCTGAAAATCAAGAGACGCATAGCGTTGGAAAAATTTCAACTATCGCGTCTGATCTCTTAATTCAAAACGGAAGTACGAAAAAAAATGTGATTTTAAATTCTCGGTTCAAAATACGATCTTTAATACCGCGCAATATATGCAATTCATAAATCAAGTGCTCGATAAGGTAAAAAAAAATACCGTTTGACTATTGTATTCAAATTAGCTTTTGAGTGAATTTTGATCGTAGTTTAAGGCGTACGGCTCTACTTACCGTAAGAGTTCTGGGTTATTCAACATATGACTGATTTCCGGGTTACGTTGCATCAGTTCTTGCATTTGGGGATTGGCGGTGACCAGATTGCGCATGTTCTCCGGGTCGTTCATCAAACTCTGCACCAGTGGATTATCGAGCACTTGACGCATTGTTTCTGGGTTCGACAGCAATTCCCGTTGCATGCGTTGCTGTAAGTCTATGAAATTAGCTGATCCTAAGCCAAGGGATTCCAATCCCATCAGTCCACCCAAGCTCCCCAAGCCAAATGGACTGGCACTGACGTCGGCTGTAATTTATATATGATTGCCAATACAAACGTTTACAATATTATTGTATATTTCGTCATGCAATATAAATGTACATGCATGCTAACAAATTTAAAACTTAAATATTCTCATTAAACAATCCTTAATTCCGTTCATCCAACTGTAATTCTAAATATAAACAATCATCTAATTTAAATAAAATTGTATTGAAACTTTGTAAAGTTATAAATTAAATTTGTAAATTATTTTCGCATATTTCTCAAAAAGATTTTTTTAGATGTACTATAATAAGGTCTTGACACATCATCACTCGACAGATTATGAAATACTTGACGTTTATGATTCTGGTAGTTATCTGCATGCATCGGAATATTAATAACTAGAACAATAACTAAAACGAAAACATGGAATAAACCACGACTTGTAGTATAACGTGTTAATTATTCCACGACACTGTGACTCAATTTCACTGCTGCGTTGGATTAAATTTAAGCCAAGCCTGACAGACATACCTTGTGGTCTCGAGGCCGAGTTGGACTCCTGATTTTGCGTGGTGGCGGTGCGCGGTGCCTTGATCACCAGGTGCACCGCCAGGCCGTCCTTGATGTTGTGCGTGCTGAGAGTCTCGTGGTCCTTCATGATCTTACCGGCGAAGATGAGGCACAGCTGATCGGCCTGTGCGTTGAACTTTTTGGAGACCGCCTCCTTAAACTGCCGGAGCGTCCGACGAAGAGGGAGGGGAGGGAGAGAAAAAGAAACAAACAGAGATTAGAGGTACGCCGAACTAACCAAATCGGTTTGACAGCTGATGCACCTGGCGGTGCGCCAAGAGGACGGCGATAAACACCGCACCGGGCGGCACCGAGGGGAACGAAGAGGCTCGCCGCTCATCGCCATCGTCATCGACTCACACTTACCTCCTTTATCGTCGCATTCTCCTCGATCTCCACGGTCTGCTTTTCCTTGGGAGTTTTCACGTTGATGGTGATCTTCTTCGGACCACCCTCCTGCTGGCCTTCTGCCATCTTGGATCGGTAGATGACTCGTTACTTTCGACGCTCGCGCGATACTTCGCGGTACGGCTCGCTCGGTCTCTCTCCGTCTCTCTCACGCTCGCTCGCTCGCTCGCTCTCACGACCACGACGGAATTGCGCACCGTGTAAATACACCTCCGACGACACCCACGGCGACGGCGACGGCACGACGGCGACGACACCACCCTCGCGCTCGCGGTCCGAACGTCCGTTGCGCCCGACGCAACGGCGAGGAACTACGTTGGATTTTTTTTCCACTTACAACTCCGTGGACCCGCGGAACTAGAGAGACTTCGCGGCCGGACGGTGACAAACATGCACGATGCTCGACGTTCCACGCTCGATCATCACGACAGACACGCGTGTCGAAGTAGCCGCGCGAGAGATTCGCGGATTCCGCCGGCGTTCCGCGCGCGAGTAGCCGATTTCGACGATGAGGTCGTGTTTCCTCTCGCGAAGAAGGACCACGTAAACCACCACGACAACGACGACGGGTAACGACGAGGTTGGCTAGGTTATGTCACGCTGCTGCCACCACCGTAACGCGAAAGCACTGCCGCGACATGCGCGGCGCTCGATTGCTCCGGAATAATACGCGTGTCCACGACTCCACGTTTGCGTTTTAACTCGAATCACACCGGAACCCGGAACACGCACAGCCTGGCCCCCTCTCCTTCGAGAAACGATCGAATACTGCGATCGAGCTCCTTTTTTTGCCTTATCATGTTATTAAAAATGATTAAGCACGATCTGCACAATTATTTATTTCAAAATTGTCTTATCTCGCTCCTCTCATATATTCTTCGTTTCTGGTTTCGAATTGTCAAGTTTCTCGAAATTTCTTTCTTAAACGATATAACGTGAGCTAAATAAATTTTCACGTTCGAAAAATTTCGTTCTGTTTTCGGATTTTCTTTTTCTGAGATTACTTTATATATAAATATTTATGAAGCGCGTTATTCATTATATTTATTTACCTCATGTTTTTTTACGTAATGCAATAACATAAAATTTTGTGCAAAATATCTATCAATTGACACAGATTACTGTTTCTCCTGATACAGTTCCTTTTTTGCGCACCCGTAGACGCACGTTCTCGTTTCCTCCGAGATAATATTTAGTGAGCTACGAAAAAGCATTTGACACGAGAATAATTACAAGAACAATTGAAATATATAAGATGTACATATTTCTTCCTCAAAGTACAAAATTAGCTCGTGTGTCGATCAACGGTATTCCGAATTTATGCGTAGACAGTCCTCGATTGTTTCAATGAATATGAACGTGAACACTCATTTTAAATTCATGCCTTCTGTTCTTCAATGCAGCGTGTTAATTCGCGTCTGCAAACGGACTGCGACTCGCCAGACTGGATAATAGGGCTGAGGAAAACGTGTTGCTCACATTATTTAAAAACGTTTACTTAAAAATACAATCTTTTTAAACATAAATGGCAATACGAATGATTAGAAAGAGAAAAAAAAGCATCGGTCTATTACTTAAGATTCTTCTGCGGAAAAATGACATTTTCTTTATCGGCACCGATTTATTCTGCGGTCGCTTTTCAATTTTTTCCGTATTTTTTTTTGTCATATGCACGGGTTTCCAACCCTCTTGAAGTATTTATCCTTTGATCGGCTGACACCCGAGCAATAGATAATAGATCTCTCTGAATGAGATTTAGCGACAGATAATCACGCAGGAGTGATACACTTCGCTCAACCGTAACTCTTAATCGATGATTTCCATTTTATTTGAAACAATTCTATATGCTCGAGATTGACACCTATAAATATATATCAAATAAATATTATATTATGCTGTAAGAATTAACTCCAAATACAAAATATTTTTTACTTCAAAGTTATAATTTTGCGCGATATGACATTAATGAGCGATTAAAAAGCGAGTAAAGAGCGATGTCATACAGAGAATTAAAGTTAAGAATCAATTAAAAATGCTATGTAAAAAATTTTGCTTCATAGATTGACATAATTAATTTACTGTTATATACGCATACTATGTATATAAATAAATGTATATAAATAAAATTGACCAGTTGTCCGCTTCATGTCAGCGTTAGAGATGAAGGAAAAAAATAGAAGTAATTACCTGCACTTCTCGCTAATCCATCGGGACTAAAAGTCAGAGTTTTCGTATCGTCTGGTTCACAACCAGTTAGGAGAGTCACAACCGGTAGCTCCCCATCGCCAGTAAAACCGACCTTTGCTTGCTGGGTAAGATAGTGACAACATTCTATTATCTGGAAAAATAACCACGCTTCTTTGTCTTTAGGTTTTGGTCCTTTGATTAACGGCAGCGCCAAACGCTCGTGAGGTTTCTGCGCCCGTAAGAATCTCGAACCACGCCTCAATTGATTCTCCAGCCATCGCGTTGCTTCTCTCGCCTGAGCGCTTACGCGTTTCACCTCGTCCAAAGCAGAGATAACTGTAAATGCAGTTGTAGTTTTGTATAAAGATAATGAAACAACTCTTGCATTAATATTTAGATACGTAAGATGAAAAATATTCAAAGCCATTTTCCACAGTATTTCACTTCATCCCGTCTAGGGACTAATCAAAATTTCTCTCATCTTACGTTTCCGACAACAGATTTACTTACCAGCCACGGGGATCACCACTACAAATTTCTTTGCGTACACCAAGCGTTTGAGAGCCGGCGTATGCTTGGCTAAAGCTTCGTGATCAGGAACAAGATATGCGATAGGTGACATCAGTCGAGACCGTAATTGGCTTTCTAGAGCTCGAACCTCCGCATTCAACCACAATCTGCCCATGTGTCTCATAAGCTTCCCTTTCGAGTGTTCCGGCTCGAAATTTTTCTTGTCCAGACCTATCACCTTCGGTACTTTCGAGGCACTCGCATCTGTCACCGTGAACAATCGCTCTGTCTGATTGTACTGTATCCTTGAATCCTCAACGGAACAGAGATGGTGTCCGAATTCGATTAGCTTCAACACTCTCAATAGCGTTTCTTCTCGCCTATTCATTTTATGTTTACGAAGTATCTGCCAATCAAGAGCTTTATGAGCGTTCTCCAACAAACTCAACCCTCGTAGATCAATATCCTCCGGTAGAGGTACGATCTTCACGCATTCCTTCAATCTCTCCACGCTGGACAGAATCGTAGAATCCTCGCTCTCCCGCACAAGAGTTTCGATATCAACGGAGATTAGATTCAATAAGATCGTAATACGCTTCAACAATGTCCGCGAACTTTTGGCGCATATCCTCACGATGTCAGGATTACTTCGGAGCCAATCGCAGCACACTTTAATGGACACGAGGATCTCCCTGCCAATCAACATATTCAGAACATCGTCCGATTTTAAACTCTGCTTCTTCAACTGTGCCACGTAAAGGATGTTGTTGTCCGCGTTGCGATTATCAGCACCCTCCTCGAAGGCACTACTCGAGTCCGTGTTCGTGATGGTCACAGCGCTGCTAGAATTTATTACAGAATCCTTGTCGCTCATCGCTTTCGAATCTGTTTGCTGATCAGTCGCGTGCTGTTGGCCGTTAACCAAATGGTTGACACTGTCTTTATCGCAATTCTCCGCAATTTTGTCAGCGACATCGCTGCTATGGCCGTTCATCTCTTCTTTCGCTGGCTGTGCCATATTTTTGATAGTCTGGATCTTTTCTGGAGACGATTCCTCGTCGTCCGTATTGTCGTCCGACAATACGTCATTCCCCCCCTCACTCAGTGCGTCATCCTCCTCCGTCTCGGAATTGACTTCATCACTAGACGACGCCAGGGTGGATTGGTCTACGTCGCTCGCGTCCGAATCGGAGCTGGTTCTCCTCTTTCGTCTACGGAGCTTGCTGAGAAGACTTTTCGATTTGTCGCGGTTTGTCTTTTTGGGACTTGATTCGTTCGTGATGATTCCGTTGTTCGATGACTTAGCTTTGTTAGTCTCACCTAAACTGAGTACATTATTGTCTTGGCTAAAAGTAGAATCTTTTCCTTCCACGTGATCTCCGTTGGCTCCCGATTCAGACGCTTGATCTTCCTGTGCATTTTCCAATTTGGAGCAAGTATTTCCTTTCGCACTTGCTTCTACATCAGGTATTTCTATAATAATTTTTTGCAATTTCGTTATTATAAATTCTAGCAATTGCGACAGTATCGCTAAAGTTATAGCAACGACGCCCTGTACTTCGTTGGACTCTTTATTCTTTAATCTAGAAATTGACATTAAGCATATTGTCACGATCTTAAACACCATATCATCTGTTAAGTAAAGCGTTGGTCTGTTTTTACAATTTTGAAGATATGTTTCGATGTTATCCATATTTTCTAGACACTCTGTATTAGTTGGCTCAATTTGATCCATTGTTAAACAATTCTCTAAATCGGTTAAAAGAGCCTGTTAAAAAGAGAAAACAATCATCGTAAAATGTGGGAAATGTGTTTATATAATATATATTTTCAATAAATATCGTACATCTCATGTAATTACATACCTGACATTCCTGATTTATTTTATCAGAATGTGGATTTTCATAATCCCATAAAAGTAACAAAGAAAATAATCGCGATATACAATGATGGACAGAATTGCTCTCATCTGTATAGGTAGATTGAGTTACTATAATTTTCATTAGATTTCCTTCTGCCCCTTCAAATGGCTCAGAACATAAAACACTGCAAAATAATCAGAATAATCATATTAAAAACACATTTGAATATTAATTTAAAAAAAATGAAATTGTTAGGGTTACAATTTATTGGCAGATAATGTATTTATATATTTTTATTGAATAACAGTTTATTGTCAATACCAACCTTCTCATATAATGATAGACTGCATCTAATCCATAATTTTTATTGCCTGCTATAGTACCAAGCTGATTGTGAGGCATACCAATGTTTGGATCGACGGCTATGGCCATCTTATAATATCTGTTTGCTATCATTGGATCCCAGTTTGAATTTAATTCTAATTTGTACCTACTCAAGTCTCCAAGGCATACCAAGCTTCGATGAATCAAGCGTATGACACACTGTTTAAGCTCCTTGGTATGAGTTTTAGACTGCCCTATTTTGGTTCTTGCCTATATCACAAATTTGACAAATTTAGAATCGTATCATTACATTATTACAAATCGCAATGTCTCACACACAAGAATTGCCATAATTTATATATATTACGATTAAAAATTACAATAATTAATGTATCTTTAACAAAACATTTTTGTTTCCTAATCCACACGAGTTAAATATTAAAAAATTCCATATTTTATGGGAAATTAAATATATATATATATATATATATATATATATAAAATTAAATATGTAAATATATAAAAATTTTCTTACGTATGATGAAATACTTTCATTTTGAATGAAAGCAAAATCAACCACACCAACAAGGTCTAGATCGTATTCCAATTGTAGCCTCGTTATTAAATGATGATAATATCCCACACCAACCAACAGATGGGCCGAAAGCAGCATTTTTTCCATATCATTCCAGGTATTACCCTGAAATATTGCAATTTCTATTTTATTTCTTATTACTCTACATTAAAGAACTTGGATGCAAACATATAATATATTTAAAAGAGTAAAAAATGCTGCGTACAAAATCATGTATAGTATATATTAAATATTCTTTATACATCTTATTGTTATTATAAGCTATCAATTTTTTTTTTAGTATATCACATTACAAATATTACCTTCCGTAACTTTTTGGCTGTGTATACAACATCGTAAAAGGCCTTTCTCCACAGAAGTTCCTCTATTTTGTGCACGTTTCCAACAGGGTCCTTCAATATCAGCCTCTCGCAATAATCCTTGAGTTTCATACGTTGAATCTTCACAGATGGAACAAATATGTCGCTCACTGTCAGGGCACGATTCTTTTGCTCATCCAACTTCTTGACAATCTCCGTCACGCTTCTTAACAAACAAATAAAAAATGCACGTTCAAAGAGTGAACCAGCATACTTGCGTCACGTGATTGAAGGTCATTGTCAAAGATAAACGTTCGACTGTAAAATTTTCTCATTTATCAGCTCATATTTTACCATATCCGATAGAAATACAAATGCGTCGGTCGGTCGAGTCTACCGACTAAAAATGAATCAATCGTGCCTGATATTCTTATCGGTCTTATCGCAAAATTCGTCGAGAAAACGTGCGAGGGAGAAATAAGCATGGCGATTTGGGATGTTGGGTTAGGTTCACGTCTCGCGAAATCACTTTGCCTTCTCCGTTACAAAAGTACTTCTTTTTTTTCCACGATAAAGATCGAAAAAAGATTATTCTCGGAGGAGAGAGTACCATTTCCACCGCGGAAGAAGCGGAGGGGACTTACTTGTGCAGACGTCTCGTGACTTCGAGGCAGTCCGTTGTTCGGGCCTCCACCGCGGCGTTAAACGATCTTCTCATTTTGCGCTACTCATGACCCACGTTCCGGCCGACTCGTCGTTACTCATTGCCCCGCGGTCCCCTGGGACGCGCATCTCCTCCGCAGAATGAGAAACCTCGACATTCGTCGCCTGGTTTGTCGACACACGTCGTCGCTCGTCGCTGCTACCTATAGGCTATGCAGTGTCTGCCAGTGTCCACTTCCTCTTTCCGTTGCTCTCCAACAGTCCAAACGCGACAGCGACACCCATCCACGATGACCACGATTGCAGCGCACCAGGCTTGACTCTCGCCAGTAATCGCGTGTAATCCAATCGGTCTTATCGATCCACGATAACCGATGACTCGGCTCGTTGAACGGCCGAGAAATTATTCTTATTAAAAATACTATTAATTTATCTGTATTATAAATTGCTAATAGTTAATTTTATTAAAAATTGCATTTTTATAATTACCATACGTGTTTGATTATCCAGAGAGATAGTAAAACAGTTGGAAAAAAATGTAATTTTGCGGCAATACATTTTGCTATTATAGTATTTTATAAATATTCAAATTTATTTATAAAGCATTTATATTATATAATAAAAATCATAATTTAATAATGTATTATTGGTACATACGTATGTCGGTCTCTTCTCTCTGGTAAAATAGTTTATACATATATAAATCTAGTGACTTTACGGCGGTTACTTCCTGAGCGCCGCGACGATTAGCCGCGCGCGAATGCGTGGCGCGTGCGCAATGCCTCACGAAAATGTACTACACGATTACATCTGCTACACACTTATATATGTTTATGTATCCTAACCGCTGACAGAGAGGATCCTCTCTGACACAGCCAAGATAAGCATGCACAGGAATATTGAGATCAAAGCTGTAACTCAAGATATTGAACGTACCATTTCTAAAGCCACAGAACTGAGCGATACAACTCAGACTGTAATTGAGCAGCATGATATCTTCTTCAAGACAAAGGAAGGAAGATTAAAATTACGAAAGTTTAAGGTTGGAGTAATTACTGGTTTTTCAGTTTAAACACTAAAGAATAATTATTCACATTATTGTATTACCGTCCCAATTAATACAAAACTTTTTTTTTCTTGTTCCGTAGGATGGCACCGCAGAGTTAATTTTGTACAAGCGACCTGACGTTCCCGGGCCAAAGTTATCCACTTATGACAGAGTCCCGCTGAACGCAGGTATCGTAGAGTCAATGGAAGATATCTTGTCCCGATCCATAGGTGTGCTAGGAGTTGTAAAGAAAACGAGACTCTTATTTATTGTCGGACAAACTCGAGTACACATTGACAAAGTCGATGGCCTGGGTAATTTTGTAGAACTAGAGGTTTGTAAATCTCCATTTATTATATTTATATTTTATACAAATGCTTCAGTAAAGATACAATTTACAATGATATATTTTAATATCGCAGGTAGTGCTGCAAAAGGATCAAGATATAAAAACTGCACAAAAGATCGCTGACAATCTCATGGAAGCATTGCTCATAAAAGAGGACGACTTAATCGCAGAAGCATACATAGATCTGCTTAATTCCAAAACATAAATAGCATTTGTCGTGCTGTTTGTTCCTTTTTATACATACAGATTAAAAAATGACTGATTTATTCACTCCAAAATATAAGAGTATAAAACTGTTCTATTTTTGACAATAAATTACGTGCGTCTTGTGTAATAAAGCAATTTTTTTTCTTTTTTTTTTTTTTAAATGTACATAGTATATATTAATATTATTAGCTATTTATCTTTTACGTTTGCTCTTTGTAATTACACTTGAAATAAGGTAAATGAATAATTAGACACTTGAGAGAAGTAAGATCAATAATTAGATACTAAATAAAAAGAAAAGAAAGGTAGAAAGACTTCAGCTATAAAGTCAAATTTTTGGAAAGACAAAGAGCGCAGAATCTGAGTGTCAAAGGTGCAAGTAAAACGAACAGATCTACGATCTAAATGGCGTCGTTTTGCGCTGTGTGTTGAGACGGCGCGTTTCCTAACCTCAAATAACATTGCTTTAATTAGGAAACTGCATCATTTTGTAATCGCACGTTTCGTACTGTACACGCTTCGAAATGTCGTACATGCTATCGCATTTGGAAAACGGCTATCAAGTCGATCAAGCCATTCTATCGGAAGAAGACAGAGTCGTGGTGAGTCTCCGTTACTCGATGTGTTTCACTTTATCTATCGTTATAGAGGAACACATTAAAAGTCAATTACGGTAAGACTTATTTCGAGTTAGAACTCCCACGTTTGAAAATAATATCTCTTTTCAGGTGATTCGCTTCGGGCACGATTGGGACCCGATGTGCATGAAAATGGACGAGGTGCTCTATAATATCGCAGAAAAAGTCAAGAACTTTGCCGTTATTTACTTGGTGGACATCACAAAAGTGCCAGATTTCAATAAGATGTAAGTAGAAATTTGTATTCTTCCAAGTCCACATGCTGCATCCATGATTTAATTAATTTTTAAGAGGATAGATAAATTTAATGTAAATATATACATGTACGTATACTTTTTGCAGGTATGAATTGTACGACCCGTGTACAGTAATGTTCTTCTTTAGAAACAAGCATATCATGATAGATTTAGGTACCGGGAATAATAACAAGATAAATTGGACGTTGGAAGACAAACAGGAAATGATCGACATTATTGAGACGGTTTACAGAGGTGCTAGGAAAGGTCGAGGTTTAGTTGTTTCTCCTAAAGATTACTCTACTAAATATCGATATTAATTTAGTTATAAATTAGATGTTTTTGTATTTTGAGGAAAGATGTTGAGATAATATTTATTTTAAGGTAAGAAGGTTACATTGACAAAAGTTAGAATCTGATTTTCAATAAACAATGCATTGTAAACTCTGTTGCAACTTATATGTTGCGCATATCTTAAAAATAAATGTAAGCTAGCGTAAAGGTGTACAAAGAATTTCTATTGATGGTACATATATTTAGAAGAATTTTATAAAATTATTTACTATCGGTTTATTTTTTACAAAAAAAATATATACGTTTTAGCTACAATGTCTCTTTTACTTAAAATGTAATTCTAATTGGACTAGAGATTATTTAAGGCATGTATTAGGTAATAATGCTGTGGTAAGCATATTCAGTATCACATAATGTATTTTGACATTTGGTGGCATGTGTTTCGTTCATATATGGGAATGCGTATACAGAGAATTGCAATTATTTATAAAAAGTAATACATAAAGTATACAATGTCAATTCTATCTCAAGATTTCTATCTTTTAATCTGTCAACGTAGTTGTATTTACATATAATTACAGTATATATGTGTGTATACATGTACATATACACTTTGGTCTAAATATCTAAGGTCTATAAGGATTTGATGATCAATTTAACGTTTATATGAATAATTATACATAATTCAGTCGTCTCTTATATATCTGCAAAATATGTAAATTTAGTAAATCATGTTGTTAAACAAATATGATATAAAAGAAAAATTTTTGCAATGTAAATTTCACTCAAGAAACTTACCATTTGTTGCGTATTGCACGCTTTCGCCAAGTACATCAGTTGAGCTTGAATAAGTTAACAATGGAAGACTCTCCTGTATTTCTCTATTTAACTCGTACGTGTTTCTTAGTGGTTTAAAAATACAATCCAGAGTTCGGAATTTTCCTGGAAAATAGCATTCGTGTTAATATTGTTTTCATAAAAATAATATGATATATACATATATGCTGTTTTTACTGACCTATAGTAGTGTGATGAGTTTTTATATTTATGGCACCTGTTGATTTGCACTGCCTCAAATCTTAAAGTAAAATTATGTGAAATAAAATCTATTGCATTATATAAATTTTAAATAGACAATATTGAACAAAATCGCGTTTTCTTTTCTCGTCATTTAATTTTCGATATAATGTGTAATAGTTTAGATTCATGAGATTTTCTTACCGCCATTAGTTATGTTTCTCGAAGGTGATTGAGAGAGATTGTAGATTGATTCCAGAGATTCCATAGATATGGAGTTATGTTTTTTTACTGGAACAATATTAATCGCGTGTAGTACATTAGAAAGAAATAACAATTAGATAGAAATATAAACAATTGTGCAATATAGAACTGACTGAAAAAGCAATTTGATGATTATAGCTTTTTTAACAAAAATCACACAATAATAAAATTTTACATTTTAATATAATACAAAGAAATAATCACTGGCTTATAATACAATTTATTCATTCCATATTGCATTATGTCCACTTCATATAAATGATTATAGCATGCACATACGTTAGCTGCAAAATTATTCTCAAACCATGCACAGGGAAGCAATGAAGATGTTGTATGTTTAGCTTTAAAATAATAAATAACTGAATAGATGTATGAAAATTAAATGAAGCAAGAGAGGAGAAGGGGGGAAAGCAAAGCGGAAAAAGATAACGCGATCCAAGCATTTGTTCCTACCTCATCACGTATTAGATAGTTGGAGAGACTCTCACTCTGTAGTACAAAATAGATTAGTGTTATTTCTATCGTGCTTCCTTTAATACTATTAATACCATAAGAGTAAAGAACGTCTAGTCTGCTACAGAGAAAATAAATATGTACATGTGTTAAAAATATATTACATACATATTTCAAGATTGTTGACTAGAGTTGTGTCTGACTTTGTTGTATCTTTGGCTTTTTTAGAGGTGTTCTCATATACTGGCTCAACTGGTGGTGGTTTGTCTATGAGAATGCAAAGAAAAAAATTTTTTTTAATTTTTCTTAAGAAGTATATAAGCATAGTATTGTAAAGAATACTTACAAGTTTTTAAGCAATAAGGATTCTTGAGTACTTGTTTTATACAATTATATATATAAGCGTATTGACTCTGAAAACATGAAAATATTCTTTTTACATTATACGAATTTATTTATTTTTTGCGGATATTAGCTTACGAAATATTTCTGGCAAAAAAACATATCATGAACTCTATGAAATATCAAATCGATTACTTTTTAGTAAAAATATCGATTTTTTTTTTTGCAAATTCTTCAATTTCAATATTTGATATTTTATTTAATCAAAATATATTGATTACATGATGTTTCTTTGCAAATTTATTCTGGTACTATTTGATCATGTAATTACTTACTTCTCTTTGTACCATATTTATTCTATGATGTCGCAATCTATATACAGTTCCGAATACGTCTAATTTTCTATTGTCTCTAATTTGTTGCAGAAGAATATCTATCGCTATTAATGTTCCTGTTCTACCAATTCCTGCACTGTAAAGTAACGATATTTTCTATTATCAAGAAGTATGAAATTAATTAATCGCAACGGTCTGATTGAACCCGTGAAATACAAAAAACCGTCCGTAGAAAATTTGTTCATACCTGCAATGAATGACGATGTAACCTTTATTAGCGATAATATTGCGACGCATTATTTGGCAAAAATGGATCATCGCGTCAAAATCTTCTGGAACATCGTGGTCGGGCCAGTCTTTAAAGTGTAAGTGAGTAATATTTCTTTTTTTATTTTCCTGTAATTATATTTTTATAAATGTATTATTTTGCGTAAAAATTTTAAAAAAATGTGCTATTGCTAAAATGTTGAAAAAGATGAACCTTTTGTAATACAATCGTTCTTTGGGTATGCGTTCTAAAGTCCAATTCACTTGTACATCGTATCATCATGTTTTCGTATCGAAAAGATTCCCCTATCGTCGGATAATATTGATGACATTTCTCCTGAAAAAAAAAAGGAGATTAATGTACGATAAACATTGTTGACATTGCGCGAATTATTATCGACAATTCTAACTTACTTTGCCTTTCTCGACCAATTGCGTCAACATAACTATAATATTAATGTCATACTGGTTGACCATTCTCCAAAAATCATAAGTGGTTTCCTCCTTTGGACCTTGACAAGCTATGTATTCATCTTCTCCTGTATATCCCTGACGCAAAATAAATTTACACACTATTTTATTCGTGCAGAATATTCGATAATCGAGTATTTGATAAACGAAGCAAAATGTTCCCCGTTAGAAATTGAGATAATTTCTTCTTTAACAAAATTTCGTAATTTTGAACCCTTTTAAATTATATTTGAAATTAAATATCTCAAGATTCAATTAATTATTTTATCATATCAAGATTTTATTAAAATAAAATTCTTAAAGATTTAACGAAAAATAACGCGGGTCTCTTATTTGTTTCATATAAAATTCGTTATTCGCAATTTGTTAAAAAAATCTGCTAAGCAATTATTTATATATTTGAAAAAATCTCCTTTCTTAATCAATCGCAATTTAAAATCATGATTTCATTTATGTTTCCTAGAAATATATATTATATTTTTGCTTGAACAAAAATCATTTCAATCTTTGATAGAGGAAGATTGTCGGATCAATACACCATATGTGCATATGTAAAATATTTACCTTTATGAATGATGCGTTGATATAATCCGTATTAGGGTCGTTATCTATCACATCCAGCTTTACTCTCGAGAAATCATCTGAAAGTATGAATCATATATAATATGTAGTTGGTAGCAAGTCGCGAGTATGCGCGAATGAATTACAAGACAAGTTCGTACAGGGTAAAATGTCGGAGTAGCGATTTTTCTTCCGGTTAGCTTGTAAGCAGGCCGTGTTTGTGGGCATCTGCAAATCGACACTGAGTGTCTGAAGCAACCGAAATTCATTGCTCAGTTTCCCAGGATTGTCCACCAATTGCTGACAATGGCTCATGAATTTTCGTCTGGTGAACGGCGCTGGCACGGGCGAGCCGGGCATGTCAGAGTGAAGAAATCTTCGTAATACTCTAAAATAAAAAAAATTATGAAACGTGAATTGTTCTATAAAGCGCACAAAGCGAGAAAATGTTTTAATATATCTTATCATGTATTTAATCAATAAATGCACGATCAAAAAAATATAATAAGGATAAGATACGTCAGAAAAAATATGCACGTGTGTGTGTGTGTATGTACGTGTGTTCAAAAAATTTTCTCGTCTCTTTTAAAGACAAGTTTTAAAGCCAAAAATTTTTTTAAAGTGAAGTATTAACCGGTTTTTTTCCTCTATTTTCTGTTATCTTTTAAATAGCTTCATTATTTCGTTCTCGTTGAATACACAATCACGTTACGTTTGACAAAAGCTGTCTCTTGAAAAAAAAAAAAAAATCGAGAAGACTTTTGCGCAATTTGTACACATATCACAATAAGTAAAGTAATAAAAATAAAATAGTGCAATTAAATATCGCACGTAACAAAATAATAACATATAACACACGTAATAATACGCATATACATATATGTAAAATAATGGAAATTAGACAAGCGATCGGTAAATGAATTTAACGTTTCCGCTAACGCGTCTGACGAACGCCGTCTCGAAGTAACGAAGAGAATCGAAGTAACGAAGAGAAGTGCGCAATAGCATCCGTGTTTCGTATACACATGTCTTTCCTTCGCCGGTGTAGCGTAGGCACAGCTCATTCATAGTAGGGGAATAACGAAAACTTACGCAATAAACATACGCGCTTGGCTAGAAACGGACTCAAGGACTCGGTTTCCTCCCAAAAGTCAGCGTCATAGCCGAATCACCGTCGATCTCCGACGACGATTTATTTCTATTGTCTTCACTCGCGCCTCGCGCACGCACGAAAATATTTCCAAAGTAATTTAAAAATACACTCGGACTTTTCGGGAGCTCGGCACGCGGTTAGCTCGGCGACTCGTGACTTGAAACCTTGTCGAGCATCGAGCCTGTAGTGTACTGTATATCTTAGCGTGCGATAGACGCGCGTGCATCGCGCGACCTTGCTCACGCTTTAACTATAGTTCTCTCTTCTGAGTCATACAATAAATATCGATCATTGTTCATAAACGCGCGTACACCTGTCCGGTGCGTTTCAAGTCTGCACGCGGTATCGCCGTGCGACGTGATTTCGGTTTTGGTTTCGAATATTATTATTGCAGCTTTCTTATATCCTTATTTATAAAATTTTTTTAGCGACTATAAAAAAATCTGATCTTAATTTATTTCTGTTACGCGGTGTAGAACGAGTTTTAATTATCTGCGATTGACATCGTCGCGTTCGATCAAGATATAAGATATATGCGTTGATATATACATTAATAACTCTTTTTTTTATCTGTTACATGTATATGTATGTTATACAATAATGAAATCTTAACTTACATGTGCGGAGAACATTTTCGCACAAGCAACATCATCGTCACCACTATTCCCATGAAAAGAATGCCGAAGACAGCTCCGATAACGAGAGCGATATTCAGTTCTGCGTCTAGTATTGCAAAAAAAAAAGGAGAACGGACGAAATAATTTATATTTTTCGTAAGACGTTTGGTTACATAAGTTGTTTGTATTAGATAGACGACTCTTTGCTGGCTAATTGATTACGAGATACTCACTCGTTTTTATCCTGAATATCTTGGAATCGGTGTAACCACCGTCAGTAAACGCCCTCATTCTGACGTGGTACCACGTGTCCGGTTGAAGAGGTCCATTGCAGTACACCCGATTGTCCATGTTGGACGAGATCTCCTTGCAGTCGTTATCGTTGCCGATTATATACTTGACGGCCTTTATGTGCCCGTAATCAGCAATGTGGTTCGCTAAACAGAGTCATAGCATTTAATAATGTACGCGCGACAGGGTTTTGTGTTTCAACGCTACGTAAACAATCGTCCTATCTATGAGCCTATATCACCTACGATAAGGATTCCAATGCGGCCATGTCGCTTGATACGTGATCGAGAAATCGTTCGTCATTGATTCCTCCCAGGAGGACACGTTGGGCCAGTCCTTGCTCTCTAGATCGAACCTTGTCCTTGACTGTACATTATTGTATCCCATTTTTGACACCATGATCGCATAAAATTTAACGTCGCCGCTGGTATTTGGGAATAGGGGCAGTAAAATAGCAGCGGTCGTTGTGGATCTGTACGTCTTGAACGGATCCAGAGTGATCCAATTAATATATGATTCGTTAGGCTGTGGCGGTACTACGACAGAAAAAGAGTCTTCTTGATTGCGGAATTAAAAATGTTAATCTTTCTTAATTATGAAAATGTTCTTCATACTACTCGGCGCGCATAAAGTTACAAATAGAATTCTCGATTTTTGATACCAATTCTGATTTCCAAAGAAATAACTTAATACACTAATTACTAAGGAAAAGAGATTAACGAGAATAATTGTTCACACTGATACTTACTACCGGCAGGATACAGCACGCTTTGACTACTCGGCGATCCGAGTGTATCGACATTTTTTACTTTGGCGGATATTGTGAAATTATACTTGTACTCTCCGTTCAACTCGTTGAGATTTATCGAGCACATGTTGTCGTTGTTATTGTAATCCGTGCATGTGCATGTCTCCGAAATAACATGGGGTACATATTTGTCTCTGGTGCCACGGCCCGATATGTTAAAGAATTCGAGTTCCCCGTTTAATGAACACGGCAAGCCCCATGTCAGAATTGTATCTAATACATTCGTGTCGTTTGAATTTTCTTTGATCGTGATGGACGAGGAATTGAATTTCGAAATTACCTCTGGAACTGAAAAATCGTAATATTCAATGTTTAAAGTATTCAAAGAGGGAAAAGACTACAGAGATATTTATATGTATGTACGTTAAAGTTGTTAGATGATCTTTGTACATAATTGCGTAAATATTTTACTGATAACAAAGCTAATCGTTTATCAACGAGTACTCATTTAGTTCAAATTATTTGCATCAAAATTTTATTCGTGAGAAAATATTTAATACTGTGTAGACAAAAATAGTTTAGTAGTTTATTTCAAATAATTAGAGATAATCTTGCATTATAATGAAATAAAGAGCTAAGAAGATCAAAGGTACCTCCACTACTGCTTTCAAATGTTTGGGGATCACTGCTGTTGCTCCATCCTCCCCCTTCCCCTGTTTTCGCTCTTATACGTACTGTGTAATTCGCGAATGCCTTTGCCTCGAGATAATCGTATTCAAACACGCTTCCGCTTATATTAAGTTTTTTAGAATGATTTTTATCTTGTTCTTCGAGGAGGCACCAATTTGGAATCGGATACAATGGTTTCCAATCGATTATGATTTCGAATTCTTCTATATAACCGGGCAAATAATCCGGTTCTTTCCAAGATAAAGAGAATTGCGAGTTTGTGATGTTTGTGACAGACAATTCAGACGGTGGAGACGGTACTGAAATTATAACACAAAAAATATCAATTAAATAAACATTAAATTAATCAATTATTAAATATAGCCTACAATATATTAATGTAACAGCGCGAAAATTGTATGGATACTGGCACTGTATTATGTTTGAATCGATAAATTACATTAATTAAAATAAAATAAATTATTAATAAGAATGTTGCTTACTGTCCTCCAACGTTGTGGCATTGACTCCGTCACTTAGGTCACTGTAACCCGCAATATTAATGGTATGCGCCCAGCAAGTGTAACTCGTGAAAGGACTTAGCCCCTCTACGGTTGTATTTAATACAACGACAGGATTTGCAGCATCGTAGGGATCTATTTTCATCGGGGACACGCGATTCTCAGGCTCGTAGCCTTTCCCCTTTTTCTCCGTGTAATTGCATATAGTTATTATCGACGACAACTGGCAATGATTGTTCTCTTTCTGGATGGTCCAGATCATCGACAGGCTTCTAACATTTGGCGGTATTCCCGGAGTATGCGGAACTGGTGGATTCGTTCCTGAAATGTCGAAGCAATTTTTTTTTTCGTCATATTCAATCTTCATGTCTGAATACACGATTGACGAATTAACATCGGATTTTATTTTTGTACGTATCGTGTACGTGATATGTACGGAGACGAAACAAGCAAAAAAGTACAAGTTAATTATACTGTTACTTACTATATGAAAGTGTGGTACCGCTGTTATCTATTATATCTCCCTCATGGTCGTCTTCGTTTACAGCGTTGATGTATACCCGATACATTTTGCAAGCGTGCAAAGGCGAAATTACCACACTCGTGTTCGTGGTGTTGACGGTATTGTTGGAATCCGTAGTTACGTGATAATGCTTCAGACAGACCGTGCCAGACTCGGGCGGCTCCCACTTAACGGTCAGCGAAAAATTGCCGGGTATTACGCGAAGAGACTGCGGCGCCGACAATTCTGCAAATTGTCAGCTGTGTGTCAGAGATGGGGATTCATTGAGAATCGCGCGACCGATTGTTCTGGAATTGGCGGAAAGTGAGCATATAAGCGGAGCACGCTGTGACAGAACTTTTATTTGAGACTATTATTCGCGAAGAGACGTCGAGCGGTAAAGCTCGACAAGTGTCTGTCAATCTTTCGCTGCAGGAAACAAATTGACCACAAATTTCACAGGTATTCTACTTCTCTCTCCGCTAATACGCGTATCTCTCCACCAGTTCTAGAACAGCTTAAGCTTACTCGGCGAAGCTGTCTTTGCGGTCTGATTTACGCCGGCAGATTTCACCGACGGCGTCACCGTTTTCACGGTGAAGTGATACTCCGTGCACGGCTCGAGATCATTGGCGGTATAATTTGTGGCGGAGACCGAGGTCTCGTTGCAGGACTTCTTGTCGCACTGAGTAATCGAGTAGTTGGATATGCATTTCGCGTCAATCGCGGGCGCCTGCCAAGTCAATTGAATAACGTTGACGCTGATGGTGCGCGCGCTCAGGGAGATCACGTCTCCGACTTCCGAAACTGAAGAGAAGCGCGGCAAAAAAATGTTCATTAATTAATCTCTTATTTCAATACAGTGGTTTCGATAAAGATACTAGACAGCATTACACTTGACAAGCAAATTTTACACTCACTGGTTGTATCGGCTGACAGAGCGACTCCATTCGTAGAATTCCAGTACGGGGTCCTAATTTTCACGTTAAACGTGTACCGCGTGCATTGCTCAAGATTGGTAGCATTATGCGAGGTAACAACCTCACTCGTCTCATTGCAATTTTTATTGTCGTCGCATCTATAGATGAGGTATCCTATCGTGGCGTTCACGTTACACGGAGGTTCCCATGAGAGAGCGATCCATTCTGTGCCTATACCGTCCGTCTTCAAATTAATTACCTCTTTTGTATCCTCTAAAGACAAAATTGCAAGATATGAATCCACAGGACATTTGAGACAAAACATACCGCATGAAATAATCGCTAATGATCTTTTGAACAAATTTCGCGATAATTTTTATTAAATTCTACTTAGAAAAAATCGAGGAAAAATGTTATATTTTCTTGAATCTTTTAATAATTCTAGTAGTAAACCGTTTAATAATTGTTTCATGCTTCGCTTATCGTGAAATATCTTCTCGTGAAATTTAAGTTTCTTTATATTACGAAATATACGTTCAGAATTTATAAAGTTAACATTTTTCTATTTTATCTTGAAATATATTTTTATTTCTATATTATAACGTTTAAATTCATCAGTATAACTTTTTTAAATCTCTGTTTAAATCTCCGCTAAAAAGCTATTCTATAAAGCGATCTGTCCTGCTTTCATCGATATTAATTTTTAAAGCGAATACTTTTTAATCTCTTAAAAAATTGATTCTTATATCAATATGATCATTTAATTACCGGTTGCGTTCTCCGGCCACGTCGGATCGCAGATTGTTATATTGATCGTGCTATCGGTGGAAATCACGCTGTTGGTCACAGTAACTGTAGCTCTCGTCGTCTGATCGACAGTCGCAGATGATGACGAGTTATCGCTATCGGTGACCGGCTGGAAAACAGTCGTCAGGGGTTCCACGGTGGATCCATAGAAAGTAGTGATCGCATCGTCACTCTCGATTTTTGCGAAATTATTTTCCATAGATCCAGGATCGTAGATCATCTCGAAGTTTTCCATCGGGACGGGATCGTAATCCAATTTTTCCACCGACATCGCGATTGTTGTCCCTCTCGATGTAGGTGCGTCATTGTTGCCGAGTGCACAGAGCAAGAGGAGAGCGAGAACGAGCAATATCGGACGTTTTTCAAGGATCATGTTCTAATGAACGCTGCAAACAAAGCAAACCTGATCCAACGCACGTTCCAACTGTCACGAAATATCTTAACTTATGCGTCTTTTAACGCGAGAAACAGAAATCAGAGGAGCGAAATCGGCAATCAAAATTCATTATACGTTCGTTACATTTGTGTTGTTCGCGAAAGTCACGAAATTCCGAGGATTTACGTTATATTAATTATTTAATTACTCGCTAGATTAATTATAAAAATATCGAATAAATTGTTCGAGAATAAGAACTTTTACGTGGACTTTGAACACAATTTTCTCTCTTGCAGCGACGCAATATCTTCAAGTACCATCGCTGACGCAAGAGACAAAGATTTCTATAAAAATGAAGCGCATCCCGGTTAACACAGAACGGAAGTGATTTGGAAAGCCATGATTTGCAGCAGTCATATCTATTTCCTTTCGCGACCGTCCGAAGGATTGTGTTCGTCATCATTCAAGGATGCGTTCAGTTTTTTCTTCGAAATTCGAAACTCGTCCTTTTGAACTCCGCGTATTTCTACGCTAGCGAACGGAAGTTCATTTCCGTTAAACTCGAATTTAAAGCTTATGAGGATGTATAATTGAAAATTGCAAAACCACGCAATGAATGACTCGCTCTTCTTCGAAACAAATCGGCTTTGAATCGAAATAATCCGCTAATAACGCGTTGCATTATTAATATATATTATATATTGCACATCGTCGATATTTAATTGATGTAAATTATAACATATATTAAACACTGTTTATCCGAAGCAGAAATTACCGCGGAAAATTCGCGAAGCATTACATGCTTTTTGTCTTCGATCACCGAAGACCTCACAATCTAGATTCTAGAAGAATTATGGAAGAAACAACACTTGATCGCTACTGATTTCGAATCGATAATTTATCGTTAATACCGCGCGCGCGATATTGTATCTGTTCGCGGGTCTCTTAGTGACTGTTTGGAGTCAGTAGCTTGTTCGTCGTCGTTGTCGGCTGCGCTTTCGATAATCATTGCCCAACTCAACCGCGCTCGTTGAGAGCCTTCCGCCCGGTTGGCTTGTCGCCGCTCTGGTAGTTGATATCACTGATAACGGGCTAGAGTCCACTCGTCCGAGAAGAGTGCACTCTTTTGCGGCCACTTTATTAATCAAATACAAGCGCCGGCCGTTCATCCGATCCCCACGGAGCACGTTCAATTTTTTTTTTACGTTTCTCTCCGGCACCGTCTCGTCTGTGCGGGGAAAGGACAGAAACGCCGGCGGGCGATCGCAGATTTTTCCATTCCGCACCGATAATCCCGCGTTCCGATATTACTATTTAAATCCACGAAACTTCTAACGTTAAGTCTTTTCCAATTCGAGAATCCGTCGTTTCACATCTAAAACGATTTTTTTTCGCGATCGAAAAAAAACTCAAAAAAATTCTCTCAGAAGTACCTATTCAAAAGACTTGCTAACTTTCTATACAAATAAAACTTTTGTATATTTGCAGTGATAATTTTGTCATTCTAGAAACTTAAATTTTCCTCCTTTGTGAATTATAATTAATACTAGTTATTAATCTCACTTACTTTTTTTTACAGAAACTTGATTTGATTTTATATATATAATAATCGATTGACGATCGAAATGTACTTTTTCATTTCGTAATAATCTGTGCTATCAGTGCAATTTAATCAATATCTATCCTTCAGAAAAAAACTGACTTCTGGAATATAATATAAAAACGATTATATATCAGCGATTTTTTTTTGCTTTGCCACAATGCAACAGTTCGTAAAATATGACTAATGTAGCGCGAAGTTACGTGCTTATCGCATTTTACGGAAGCAGACAATTTTATCAGAAATAAAAATCAGGTCTCCGTATCAGTAAATCGTTTCTACGAGTAGTATATCTATTAGCTTTCATTATTTATCAATTATACTTATCTCTTCTGTTCTTTTTTTACTTATTTTTTAACATTGTTATTTTCGTAATGTATTTCGAATTTTGTCTTAAAAAATTATAGTATAATTAGAATTTTATTATATATACATATATATATTAAAATTAAACAAAAAAATAAAATCGTCTATAGTACGATAATAAAACCCTTTATTTTCAACTGCTATTATAAATATCACCAAATCTTGAATCAACCATATACAGGTCTTTGTCCTTGTTTTTTTTTAAATTTAAATAATAAACAAATTCTTAAAATTTTATATATTAATTATATATTAATTTTTTATATAAAGGGTACAATATAATGTAAATATAAGCTGGAAGCGCGCACTCTCGATATGAGATCCGAAATAATTTTATATCAAGGTTTCAAGACAATTCACCGTAATATTTAGACTCTCGAAAGAAAGCATATTCATCACCGGAGAACTTACCCAAATACTTTACTCCATCGATGCTCCTGCATCCAATAATCCTGCGAAGAAACAAATCAAGGTGTGCGTGTAGCCGTCAGGAGAATTTCGCAAGGATCTCAGGCGTAAAAGTGCGAAAAGAGGGAGCGAAAGACTTAAACGCGGATCCTCGGCTTCGCTGGCATCTGCTTACGAAGCGGAACTCGAAACCATGTGCCTCTTCAAAGCACAGCGACCGCCACCGAACTGCCCCCACAAAGATCGTTGGAAATAGCGTGGCTGTGGTGTGCCTGCTCAAGCTTAGATCTCGGGTAGGACCCACGCACACACACACGTACAACCCTACACGTAAACACGGTCCCCAAAGAAGCATCCGTGAACCGGATCCAGGCTCCGACTACATCCTTTATCGCCTACTGTCGCGTGACACGTAGTCTCTTACCTACCGCATATTTTTTCGAGTTTTTAACATATCTTGGCAGGTAGCTACTGAGTAGACAAAGCCTAAAGGAAGAAAAAGAACAGAAAAAAAATACGAATATCTAAAATTTCTTTTTTTAATATACATTAAATTAAAATTCCATTTAAAGTATAAAAATTAGTTACTGTGAAAAGCTAATATTTTATAATATAAGCATACATATTTTTTTCCGATAAAGCTTTATCTCTTTATCGACAAAAAGTTCTCATATCACCAAATTCATATTGCTTTAAATTGCTTTATCAAATATTTATAACTCCGCAAGATTATATAAATATCTATCTTATAAAGTTCTAAAAATTTGAATTAATTCGAAAATGGTATCGCATTTGAAACATCGGAGGACATTTATCGCGAATGTGATGAAAGAAAAAAATAGAAAAATTGTATCATTTTCTTTTTTCAATTTTATTGCAACGAATATACATTCGAAGTGTACTGTACCAAGTGCGACTTAGTACAGTCTCTGTGGTGGTCCCATGGTAGATTTAATGTGAAGCGAACGCACGTTCTGCCAGTGTTTCTTCAATAGGGAAACAAGGAAATTTATTGAGAGATGGACATTTTGCACCAACTCGTCGGGTGTCATTTCAACGTGTCCAACGGCTACTGACAGACACAACACCTGTAGAACAAAATAAATAAAGTAATCGTTACAAAAAGATATGAACAACGTTGTAAAAATATCACTCAATTTTAATCAACATATATTATAAATTTTATTAGAACTTTCGTAGCGTTGTTAATATTTTAGAAAATTTCTAAATTTAAGAATATTTTTGTAAAAAAGAAAATCTTATTTTGAATGAGATATATATATATATCGACACGGATTGAGGTGTAATGATATGGTCCACATTACCCTCACCAAGTGAAGAACTTTAATTTCCTTCCTCTTGACGACCAACATTGTTCGAATGTTACGCAATAATGGTGCTTTTGGGAAGGTAACGTAATTGTTTTATATAACGTTGAATATAGAAACATTTTTGATAAAATCTATTCAAGTAGCACACCTTTTTCATTTGAAATTTAATAGTGGCCTTGACTTCGTCGATTTTGCCGACCATCGATTCTTGGTGGGACAACAGTCCAGGGAATTTACCAGCCTTGTTTAAACCAGGACCGAGAAGACGGGGAATTTGCTTGATCAACGACTCGCTAGCCAAAAACGCATCGTATTTTTTTGCTGCAAAAAGTACACAAATACATAAAAAAATTAGTCAATTTTAATCAATTTGTATTATAAGTTCTATTAGAATTTTTGTAGTGTCTTTATTAATAATTTAAAAAATTTTTTAATTTATTTCTAAATTAAAAATATTTTGGTAAAAAAAGATAAACAAAGATTTTTTAAAAAGATCTTTTTTTAAACGAGATATATGTATCGACACGGATTGAGGTGCAATGATACGATTCACATTACCCTCACCAAGTGAAGAACTTTAATTTCCTTCCTCTTGACGACCACTATTGTTCGAATGTTAAGCAATAATGGTGCTTTTGGGAAGGTAATGCAAAATTGTTTTATACTGAAACACATTATTAACCTACCAAGTTTCTTGACGAGCTTCTTATTTTTGTTAAGTTTCTTCAGGGCCTCTGCATCCATGTATGGAATATTATTAGCTTTAGCTTCATCGCAGTGCTGCTGATCGCCAAGAACGCATACTTGCATTTTTGGTCTGGGGATATTCTTCAACCTAACATAATAAAGATCAATAATATCAAAGTTTAAATACGATGAGGTCTCTATGACTGATTATCTCTTGATTATGTGCAATATTTAGTCTCATTACAAAGCTATATTATCAAAACAAAAATTTCCCGTTGCACAGTTGTGAGAAAAAAAATATAACATCTAGGGTCTCTCAATGTTCTCAGATTTAAATATTTGACTACATAAATTTTTCAGATAATACATGCAATAAATGAAACATCATAGAACACTGGTGACTCAATGAACTTTTACTGTAAAAATTAACATTACGTATTGCATTAGTTTGTGTTGACTGTCAGAAAGAATTTATGTAGTATTCCCTAAAAATTTGTTTCTCTATTCTCTATCCTTCCAACTTGTTCTAAAGATAATGTTTCAAAAATAACTTACCCACAGGATCATGTAATCCTGTATAATTTAAATAACGGTATAAATACCTCCCCAATTAATTTAAGACCCTGGGTGCAGGTCCGCTAGATAAAATCTAGCTCCCTGACATTATAGGAGGCAATTTTTATAGGTATTCTTCTTAATGAAGAATATTAAGATTGAAAAAATGCCTCAGTCAGGTAGAAACATACTTGACAGTGCCGGAGAAACGCTTGTCCTTCTGTGGATCATAGTTCTTCAAACCGATCTGCAACTCTATGGTTTCCAAGAATTTCCTTTTCTTATCCTGAGAGTTTTGAAGCACGCCGTTTACACACTCGTAAAGAGTGTCACGGGAAACCTTCGATCTGCAATGAAATAAAACACGTGTGGATTCATTTTTGCAAGTTCGAGAAATGCCTTTGTATATACAAGCGGCAAATGTTTGATTTGACTGAATATGGCAAGGTGTATAAAATCTTTAGAAAATTAGTGCTACATTTAATTCACATCAGAATAAAACATTTGTTGCTTCTGACTTTCAATGCCGCATGTGAAGCGGTTACATCAATACTCCTATTACATTAAAAATGATCCAAAAATAATATGTACTCGTAAACAGTTATAATTCAATACGTTTATTCGCAGCAAGATGGCAAACTTTATCCGAATGATTGCGATTATTCGATAGGATTACATATACTCACGTCATTTCGTCAGGTGAAGGACAACGCGGACACGACTAACCTTCTCAACGACTGATACCGGAAAGAAACTGAACGTGGCCGGGGCGCGCGCAGCGCAGGAACCGCGTCATTCGGCTTGCATAAAACGAGTTTCTAGACGAAGACACTGATGGCAGTTCTGTGACACGGATGTGACTGGCCGCCATTTACCGGCCGTGCTCGGCACGTGGCGTCACCTACGGCCGAGCGGAGAGAAGCGGTGTGACGTTGAACGAGCGGACAGTGGAGGCGCGCGCGTCCATGTCAGGCGATCAGCTGTGCGCGTCGCGGGATTCGATTATCTTTCGCGTCGCGTCGCGGGGGAGTGACGAGTGACGACGCGCGTTTGTTCGACGTGCCAATCTCCGTGTTGTACCGTGTGTGTCCCGTCGTGGTCGCGCAAGTTTTGGACTCTCTCGGGGCGTCGCGTGACAGCCAGAGCTAAGCGAGCAACGCCGAAGCACACTCGAGGCCGCGGCGGCCGTCGACGAGCGCTCGAGCGAACACGAGGCTGACGGGAGGCGGCAGGCGGTCGCGGGCGAA